ATAAACAATAAAATCCTGTAAAGTGTTTTAACAATATAAAACTGGAGAATAAATAACCAATATGCAGCTATGGACATTTTTACAGTAATGGATATTTGAAAATAGCAGCAACATCAGAGATGTGCAGAATGACAGCAGCAGGTTATTTAACTGACTAAGGTTTCTATCATTACATTTGATTTGATTAGTTCCTGCTCCCGCTGGTTGGAACATTTATTCCACTCTGGATTCTCATCAGTCTTTGTTCACCTCACAATAAAAAAGAAATAAACAGTTTTGAAAACTTCTGTATTCATTCTTTTCCTGCTTTGTGTGTCAACGTTCACGGTTGCTAAGCAACAGAGCATACGGCGGTAAAACCCGCCAAAGGGTGGACCTGGTCGAATTTACAGCCAAAACTCTTCCGGTCTCCTTATTTTCAAGGACTTCGAAGGATCCAGTCTAGGTAGACCGCGTCCTTGGAGGACCCGTCCTAGGTTTTCGAACAGAGCCGATATCATTGTTCCAGGTCATCGTTCTGTCCAATCAGCTGCCTGTAGTGTCTGTAAATGTCCAGCAGAGGTCAGTATTCTGAGGACAATCAGCGCAGCATCAACAGCTTGGCGTCATGATGCCTCATTAACTGCAGCACTTGATGTGTGGCCGCCATATTGGATGGGTCTGGCTGTTAGCATCAGAGCAGGTGTTGTGCCAAAAACTGATCAGCAAAGATCGGGTGCGTCCCCACCCCGTGGGGGGAGGAGCTTGTTTGCAGCGGGATTGAGCCTGAATCAAACACTGTTGACAGCAGCAGTTCTGATTGTCCGAAGAAGGTTCCAGAAGGTGTCTTAGTTCTCCTCCTCATCAGCAGACGTGTCTCTAAGGCTGCAGCCTGCAGTCGCCCAGATCCATCCTCTGGACAGTGCAGGTTTTCTTTCCAACCAGCCAATAGCACCAGACTCCAGTCATCTCATCAAGTCATCATGTTGAGATGACTGGAGCCACTGGTTGGACAGTAGACCTGCAGGTCTTTCTGGAACCACTTTGCTCCTCCTGGTCTAGAAGGTTGGGTCTCTAGAGAACTGAATCCTCTCAGATCTTCAGGTCATCAAAGCGTTGCTGCGCCGCATTAAACTGATTTACATCTTATTTGCAGACAGTTCAGTCTGTTAGAGTCCTGCATCACGTGGCCCTACAGGGCCCACCAGGGGCCCCTGCTCAAACAGATGACCTACCTGTTGTTTGGCTCCTTTTCCAGTCGCTGCTTTGGCTTTTAGTGATTTTAAAGTAGACCGCCTTTTATTCCAGGTGTGATGAAGGTTAAGCTCTTCCTCCGCCTTCAGTGCGTCCTGCTTTCCCTCAGAGTCAGACAGTCCTGGTCCAGACTGCAGGTCCTGGTCCAGACTGCCGGTCCTGGTCCAGACTGCAGGTCCTGGTCCAGACTGCCGGTCCTGAACCAGACCAGCAGTCCTGGTCCAGACTGCCGGTCCTGGCCCAGACTGCCGGTCCTGGTCCAGACCAGCAGTCCTGGTCCAGACTGCCGGTCCTGGTCCAGACTGCGGGTCCTGGTCCAGACTGTCGGTTCTGGTCTAGACTGCCGGTCCTGGTCCAGACTGCAGGTCCTGGTCCAGACTGCCGGTCCTGGTCCAGACTGCAGGTCCTGGTCCAGGCTGCAGGTCCTGGTCCAGACCAGCAGTCCTGGTCCAGACTGCCGGTCCTGGTCCAGACCAGCAGTCCTGGTCCAGACTGCCGGTCCTGGTCCAGACTGCAGGTCCTGGTCCAGACTGCCGGTCCTGGTCCAGACCAGCAGTCCTGGTCCAGACTGCCGGTCCTGGTCCAGACTGCGGGTCCGGTCTAGACTGCCGGTCCTGGTCCAGACTGCAGGTCCTGGTCCAGACTGCCGGTCCTGGTCCAGACTGCAGGTCCTGGTCCAGACTGCCGGTCCTGGTCCAGACTACCGATCCTGGTCCAGACCAGCAGTCCTGGTCCAGACTGCCGGTCCTGGTCCAGACCAGCAGTCCTGGTCCAGACTGCCGGTCCTGGCCCAGACTGCCGGTCCTGGTCCAGACTGCAGGTCCTGGTCCAGACTGCCGGTCCTGGTCCAGACTGCCGGTCCTGGTCCAGACCAGCAGTCCTGGTCCAGACTGCCGGTCCTGGTCCAGACTGCCGGTCCTGGTCCAGACTACCGGTCCTGGTCCAGACTACCGGTCCTGGTCCAGACTGCCGGTCCTGGTCCAGACTGCCGGTCCTGGTCCAGACTACCGGTCCTGGTCCAGACCAGCAGTCCTGGTCCAGACTGCCGGTCCTGGTCCAGACTACCGGTCCTGGTCCAGACCAGCAGTCCTGGTCCAGACTGCCGGTCCTGGTCCAGACTGCCGGTCCTGGTCCAGAATACCGGTCCTGGTCCAGACCAGCAGTCCTGGTCCAGACTGCCGGTCCTGGTCCAGACTGCCGGTCCTGGTCCAGACTACCGGTCCTGGTCCAGACCAGCAGTCCTGGTCCAGACTGCCGGTCCTGGTCCAGACTACCGGTCCTGGTCCAGACCAGCAGTCCTGGTCCAGACTGCCGGTCCTGGTCCAGACTACCGGTCCTGGTCCAGACCAGCAGTCCTGGTCCAGACTGCCGGTCCTGGCCCAGACTGCCGGTCCTGGTCCAGACTGCCGGTCCTGGTCCAGACTGCCGGCCCTGGTCCAGACCAGCAGTCCTGGTCCAGACTGCCGGTCCTGGTCCAGACTGCCGGTCCTGGTCCAGACCAGCAGTCCTGGTCCAGACTGCCGGTCCTGGTCCAGACTGCCGGTCCTGGTCCAGACTACCGGTCCTGGTCCAGACCAGCAGTCCTGGTCCAGACTGCCGGTCCTGGTCCAGACTACCGGTCCTGGTCCAGACCAGCAGTCCTGGTCCAGACTGCCGGTCCTGGTCCAGACTGCCGGTCCTGGTCCAGACTACCGGTCCTGGTCCAGACCAGCAGTCCTGGTCCAGACTGCCGGTCCTGGTCCAGACTACCGGTCCTGGTCCAGACCAGCAGTCCTGGTCCAGACTGCCGGTCCTGGTCCAGACTGCCGGTCCTGGTCCAGACTACCGGTCCTGGTCCAGACTACCGGTCCTGGTCCAGACCAGCAGTCCTGGTCCAGACTGCCGGTCCTGGTCCAGACTGCCGGTCCTGGTCCAGACTGCCGGTCCTGGTCCAGACTACCGGTCCTGGTCCAGACCAGCAGTCCTGGTCCAGACTGCCGGTCCTGGTCCAGACTGCCGGTCCTGGTCCAGACTACCGGTCCTGGTCCAGACCAGCAGTCCTGGTCCAGACTGCCGGTCCTGGTCCAGACTACCGGTCCTGGTCCAGACCAGCAGTCCTGGTCCAGACTGCCGGTCCTGGTCCAGACTACCGGTCCTGGTCCAGACCAGCAGTCCTGGTCCAGACTGCCGGTCCTGGCCCAGACTGCCGGTCCTGGTCCAGACTGCCGGTCCTGGTCCAGACTGCCGGTCCTGGTCCAGACCAGCAGTCCTGGTCCAGACTGCCGGTCCTGGTCCAGACTGCCGGTCCTGGTCCAGACTACCGGTCCTGGTCCAGACCAGCAGTCCTGGTCCAGACTGCCGGTCCTGGTCCAGACTACCGGTCCTGGTCCAGACCAGCAGTCCTGGTCCAGACTGCCGGTCCTGGTCCAGACTGCCGGTCCTGGTCCAGACTACCGGTCCTGGTCCAGACCAGCAGTCCTGGTCCAGACTGCCGGTCCTGGTCCAGACTACCGGTCCTGGTCCAGACCAGCAGTCCTGGTCCAGACTGCCGGTCCTGGTCCAGACTGCCGGTCCTGGTCCAGACTACCGGTCCTGGTCCAGACCAGCAGTCCTGGTCCAGACTGCCGGTCCTGGTCCAGACTGCCGGTCCTGGTCCAGACTACCGGTCCTGGTCCAGACCAGCAGTCCTGGTCCAGACTGCCGGTCCTGGTCCAGACTACCGGTCCTGGTCCAGACCAGCAGTCCTGGTCCAGACTGCCGGTCCTGGTCCAGACTGCCGGTCCTGGTCCAGACTACCGGTCCTGGTCCAGACCAGCAGTCCTGGTCCAGACTGCCGGTCCTGGTCCAGACTACCGGTCCTGGTCCAGACCAGCAGTCCTGGTCCAGACTGCCGGTTCTGGTCGGCGCCGCTCTCTCTGGCGTCTCTTCTGTGTTTTAAATGCTTCATAAATGAGACAATGCGGTAATAATAAAAACATTTTATTCTACGTCTTTATGGAGCAATAATGATAATAAATGAGAACTTCAGCAACACAGCTTAAATAATCTGTTCCTCTAATCACAGAAATTAAGATGATAGATTAACTATTTTAATGATCAATCAGCAACTGCTACATTATAGAAAAACAGTCAATAATTGTGGACATCAGTGCAATAAATTGGTCCAGATTAAATAATTGGAATAATCCTGGATCCTCAGTCCCGTTTAATCTGGTGAATAAGGGACGTGTTTTCTGACTGAGATTAAACGTGTGAAACAGGAAGTAACTGGTTGGTCTTTAAATAGAGAATATTTGATCGTTTCTCTACATTTAGAAGGAACTGAAGAGGATTTTATTTTAGCTGCTTTGGGTCGGCAGGCGGCTGCTCCGCAGGGGGAGGAGCCAGAACCGCAGCAGAGGAGCATCACAGGAGGAGATGTTCCTCAATAGATCCTGAAGGATTAACCTTTATCATCGCTAGCTCGGTACCGAACCCAGACTGTGGTGGTTAGACGCCATGGAGGCGGAGCTTCTGGCTCCGTCTGCTGCAGGCTAACGGAGATGAAAGTTAAGCTGCGCCGCGCCTCATCAGGAAGGCGAGGCGTTTCCGTTTGACCTTCTGCTGCAGCACATCGGTGAGCTCAGCAGCCAGGAGGTCCGTCAGTCGCTCCTCCACCTGGAGGACGGAGCTCCAGCAGGGGACGCATGGAGCTGCAGGCGGGGTTAAAGGTCACCTGGAGCAGCGGGACGCCGACAGGACCTCCTGAACCTTTCAGACCCACCATCAGTCAGGAAACACACAGCAGGTTATTCCAACATGGGAGCATTTTAATCCAGTCAGATTAAAACACACGGCTATTTTACACCAGTCCTTCAGAGGCTAAAGAAACAAACACGGGTCCGAAGGTCCAAACTAGCCGCAGCGACAGAACCGGGCTGCAGTCACCACATTAATGACACACAAAGCTAGATCCAAAAAGGTCGCCGCATCGTCTACGTCAGGAAGGAAGAAGTTAACCTTTGACCTGGAAGCCAAGGAGCAGAGATAACTAGTGGTCTGCTGGTGAACGTCCCGCCCACTACCGCCATCAGAACCGCTAACCCATCAGAAGCTCCAGAACCAAGCCCGGTTATCCGGCATCCAGCCCAGCTCCACCCAGTTCAGAACCAGTAGATCTGCTCTACTGGACCTGAAGCTAGAGTCTGATCTAGGTGGAACCAGGTCGGAGCCCAGGCTGGAGCCCAGGCTGGACTAGAACGGGGACGGCTATGTTCTCTGCGTTCCTGAGGAAACATGGACATCTATTCCTGAGCTGGGATCACAGACCAGCTGAGGTCTACATGGGAGAGAGCTGGTGGAGGCAGCTGGAGATCCGGGGCGGCCGTGGACCTGCAGCTAACCCTGGACGTTTGTTTGTTGGCAGGACGTCAGCAGGCTGGAGGGTCAGATGTAGAACAGCCGGACCCTGGAAGTGCTGACGTGAAGGTCGTTGTCGAAGAACTTGGTCTCTATGATGACGTTGCCCCTGAAAGAGAAGAGACGCCGCCGTTAGCTGAGCTTTTGCCGCCGTAACGCTTCACGCCTTTCACATCATCAGGTTTAGCTAAAGGATAGACACCCTCCCCCCTAGATGTCCTGAATCCAGATCCGCTCCTTCAGGCTGTGGAGTCGCCCCCCCCCATCATGGTTCTCCTACAGGGGAACAGATCTCAGAGGGAGGCCGGCTGGGTGTGACGTAGACCACCGTTCTACAGTCCTGCTCTCCAGTACGTCAGTCCTCCATCATGAATGCGATAAGCGTCCACCACCGGGTAACATCGGACCGATCCAGCATGGCGGCTCCTCAGAGGGTGTGGCTTCCTTTGGACGGATGGTCGCAGCGAGGACGACTACAGCAGCGTCTGCGGCGATCTGGATCAGCCATCTTTACCCACTAACCTGAACCCTTCAGGCATCATGGCGGCGTCTGAGCGCCGCAGGAGCAGAAAGCCAGAAGTCTTACGTTAAAACGTTGGCGGGCATCATCTGGGACTCTGGCGCCGCTTCTATCAGGGACTGCCACGTGTTGGTGGAGTTTGGGATGACGAAGCCGAACTCAAAGAACCATTCTGCAGGCAGAGAGAAGATCATTAACATCTACTGGAAACATCAACAGGTCCTGGATACCGTGCTGCCCCCAGGGGGCGCCGCTGCTAGCATCACTCCTAGCAGCACCGTGCTGCCCCCAGGGGGCGCCGCTGCTAGCATCACTCCTAGCAGCACCGTGCTGCCCCCAGGGGGCGCCGCTGCTAGCATCACTCCTAGCAGCACCGTGCTGCCCCCAGGGGGCGCCGCTGCTAGCATCACTCCTAGCAGCACCGTGCTGCCCCCAGGGGGCGCCGCTGCTAGCATCACTTCTAGCAGCACCGTGCTGCCCCCAGGGGGCGCTGCTGCTAGCATCACTCCTAGCAGCACCGTGCTGCCCCCAGGGGGCGCCGCTGCTAGCATCACTCCTAGCAGCAGGGCCCTGAGGACCCCCCACCCGGGAAGTTTCCTTCTTTAGCTGAACTTCAGCTCCTGGGAGCTTCTCCTCCAGATAAACTGTTTCCTTCTGCTGCAGGAGAAAACAACACAACACCAGCCGGGTGAGACCAACTCACCAGGTGAGTCTAACCGGGCGAGTCTAACCGAGTGAGACCAACTCCAGCTGAGCTCTGACCGGGTGAGTCTTACCGGGTGAGACCAACTCCAGCTGAGCACTGACCGGGAGAGTCTAACCGGGTGAGACCAACTCCAGCTGAGCTCTGACCGGGTGAGTCTAACCGGGTGAGACCAACTCCAGCTGAGCTCTGACCGGGTGAGTCTAACCGGGTGAGACCAACTCCAGCTGAGCTCTGACCGGGTGAGTCTAACCGGGTGAGACCAACTCCAGCTGAGCTCTGACCGGGTGAGTCTAACCGGGTGAGACCAACTCCAGCTGAGCTCTGACTGGGTGAGTCTAACCGGGTGAGACCAACTCCAGCTGAGCTCTGACCGGGTGAGTCTTACCGGGTGAGACCAACTCCAGCTGAGCTCTGACCGGGTGAGTCTAACCGGGTGAGACCAACTCCAGCTGAGCTCTGACCGGGTGAGTCTAACCGGGTGAGACCAACTCCAGCTGAGCTCTGACCGGGTGAGTCTTACCGGGTGAGACCAACTCCAGCTGAGCTCTGACCGGGTGAGTCTAACCGGGTGAGACCAACTCCAGCTGAGCTCTGACCGGGTGAGTCTAACCGGGTGAGACCAACTCCAGCTGAGCACTGACCGGGTGAGTCTAACCGGGTGAGACCAACTCCAGCTGAGCTCTGACCGGGTGAGTCTAACCGGGTGAGACCAACTCCAGCTGAGCTCTGACCGGGTGAGTCTAACCGGGTGAGACCAACTCCAGCTGAGCTCTGACCGGGTGAGTCTAACCGGGTGAGACCAACTCCAGCTGAGCACTGACCGGGTGAGTCTAACCGGGTGAGACCAACTCCAGCTGAGCTCTGACCGGGTGAGTCTAACCGGGTGAGACCAACTCCAGCTGAGCTCTGACCGGGAGAGTCTAACCGGGTGATACTAACTCCAGCTGAGCTCTGACCGGGTGAGTCTTACCGGGTGAGACCAACTCCAGCTGAGCTCTGACCGGGTGAGTCTAACCGGGTGAGACCAACTCCAGCTGAGCTCTGACCGGGTGAGTCTTACCGGGTGAGACCAACTCCAGCTGAGCTCTGACCGGGTGAGTCTAACCGGGTGAGACCAACTCCAGCTGAGCTCTGACCGGGTGAGTCTAACCGGGTGAGACCAACTCCAGCTGAGCTCTGACCGGGTGAGTCTAACCGGGTGAGACCAACTCCAGCTGAGCTCTGACCGGGTGAGTCTTACCGGGTGAGACCAACTCCAGCTGAGCTCTGACCGGGTGAGTCTAACCGGGTGAGACCAACTCCAGCTGAGCTCGAACAGGGTGAGTCTAACCGAGTGAGACCAACTCCAGCTGAGCTCTGACCGGGTGAGTCTAACCGGGTGAGACCAACTCCAGCTGAGCTCTGACCGGGTGAGTCTAACCGGGTGATACCAACTCCAGCTGAGCTCTAACAGGGTGAGTCTAACCGGGTGATACCAACTCCAGCTGAGCTCTAACAGGGTGAGTCTAACCGGGTGAGACCAACTCCAGCTGAGCTCTGACCGGGAGAGTCTAACCGGGTGAGACCAACTCCAGCTGAGCTCTGACCGGGTGAGTCTAACCGGGTGATACCAACTCCAGCTGAGCTCTAACAGGGTGAGTCTAACCGGGTGAGACCAACTCCAGCTGAGCTCTGACCGGGTGAGTCTAACCGGGTGAGACCAACTCCAGCTGAGCTCTGACCGGGTGAGTCTAACCGGGTGAGACCAACTCCAGCTGAGCTCTGACCGGGTGAGTCTAACCGGGTGAGACCAACTCCAGCTGAGCTCTGACCGGGTGAGTCTTACCGGGTGAGACCAACTCCAGCTGAGCTCTGACCGGGTGAGTCTAACCGGGTGAGACCAACTCCAGCTGAGCTCTGACCGGGTGAGTCTAACCGGGTGAGACCAACTCCAGCTGAGCACTGACCGGGTGAGTCTAACCGGGTGAGACCAACTCCAGCTGAGCTCTGACCGGGTGAGTCTAACCGGGTGAGACCAACTCCAGCTGAGCTCTGACCGGGTGAGTCTAACCGGGTGAGACCAACTCCAGCTGAGTTCTAACAGGGTGAGTCTAACCGGGTGATACCAACTCCAGCTGAGCTCGAACAGGGTGAGTCTAACCGAGTGAGACCAACTCCAGCTGAGCTCTGACCGGGTGAGTCTAACCGGGTGAGACCAACTCCAGCTGAGCTCTGACCGGGTGAGTCTAACCGGGTGATACCAACTCCAGCTGAGCTCTAACAGGGTGAGTCTAACCGGGTGATACCAACTCCAGCTGAGCTCTAACAGGGTGAGTCTAACCGGGTGAGACCAACTCCAGCTGAGCTCTGACCGGGAGAGTCTAACCGGGTGAGACCAACTCCAGCTGAGCTCTGACCGGGTGAGTCTAACCGGGTGATACCAACTCCAGCTGAGCTCTAACAGGGTGAGTCTAACCGGGTGATACCAACTCCAGCTGAGCTCTAACAGGGTGAGTCTAACCGGGTGATACCAACACCAGCTGAGCTCTAACAGGGTGAGTCTAACCGGGTGATACCAACTCCAGCTGAGCTCTAACAGGGTGAGTCTAACCGGGTGATACCAACTCCAGCTGAGCTCTAACAGGGTGAGTCTAACCGGGTGATACCAACACCAGCTGAGCTCTAACAGGGTGAGTCTAACCGGGTGAGACCAACTCCAGCTGAGCTCTAACAGGGTGAGTCTAACCGGGTGATACCAACTCCAGCTGAGCTCTGACCGGGTGAGTCTAACCGGGTGAGACCAACTCCAGCTGAGCTCTAACAGGGTGAGTCTAACCGGGTGAGACCAACTCCAGCTGAGCACTGACCGGGTGAGTCTAACCGGGTGAGACCAACTCCAGCTGAGCTCTGACCGGGTGAGTCTAACCGGGTGAGACCAACTCCAGCTGAGCTCTGACCGGGTGAGTCTAACCGGGTGAGACCAACTCCAGCTGAGTTCTAACAGGGTGAGTCTAACCGGGTGATACCAACTCCAGCTGAGCTCGAACAGGGTGAGTCTAACCGAGTGAGACCAACTCCAGCTGAGCTCTGACCGGGTGAGTCTAACCGGGTGAGACCAACTCCAGCTGAGCTCTGACCGGGTGAGTCTAACCGGGTGATACCAACTCCAGCTGAGCTCTAACAGGGTGAGTCTAACCGGGTGATACCAACTCCAGCTGAGCTCTAACAGGGTGAGTCTAACCGGGTGAGACCAACTCCAGCTGAGCTCTGACCGGGAGAGTCTAACCGGGTGAGACCAACTCCAGCTGAGCTCTGACCGGGTGAGTCTAACCGGGTGATACCAACTCCAGCTGAGCTCTAACAGGGTGAGTCTAACCGGGTGATACCAACTCCAGCTGAGCTCTAACAGGGTGAGTCTAACCGGGTGATACCAACTCCAGCTGAGCTCTAACAGGGTGAGTCTAACCGGGTGATACCAACACCAGCTGAGCTCTAACAGGGTGAGTCTAACCGGGTGATACCAACTCCAGCTGAGCTCTAACAGGGTGAGTCTAACCGGGTGATACCAACTCCAGCTGAGCTCTAACAGGGTGAGTCTAACCGGGTGATACCAACACCAGCTGAGCTCTAACAGGGTGAGTCTAACCGGGTGAGACCAACTCCAGCTGAGCTCTAACAGGGTGAGTCTAACCGGGTGATACCAACTCCAGCTGAGCTCGAACAGGGTGAGTCTAACCGAGTGAGACCAACTCCAGCTGAGCTCTGACCGGGTGAGTCTAACCGGGTGAGACCAACTCCAGCTGAGCTCTAACAGGGTGAGTCTAACCGGGTGATACCAACTCCAGCTGAGCTCTAACAGGGTGAGTCTAACCGGGTGAGACCAACTCCAGCTGAGCTCTGACCGGGTGAGTCTAACCAGGTGAGATCAACTCCAGCTGAGCTCGAACAGGGTGAGTCTAACCGAGTGAGACCAACTCCAGCTGAGCTCTGACCGGGTGAGTCTAACCGGGTGAGACCAACTCCAGCTGAGCTCTAACAGGGTGAGTCTAACCGGGTGATACCAACTCCAGCTGAGCTCTAACAGGGTGAGTCTAACCGGGTGAGACCAACTCCAGCTGAGCTCTGACCGGGTGAGTCTAACCAGGTGAGATCAACTCAAGCTGAGCTCTAACAGGGTGAGTCTAACCGGGTGAGATCAACTCAAGCTGAGCTCGAACAGGGTGAGTCTAACCGAGTGAGACCAACTCCAGCTGAGCTCTAACAGGGTGAGTCTAACCGGGTGATACCAACTCCAGCTGAGCTCTAACAGGGTGAGTCTAACCGGGTGATACCAACTCCAGCTGAGCTCTGACCGGGTGAGTCTAACCGGGTGAGACCAACTCCAGCTGAGCTCTGACCGGGTGAGTCTAACCGGGTGAGACCAACTCCAGCTGAGCTCTGACCGGGTGAGTCTAACCGGGTGAGACCAACTCCAGCTGAGCTCTGACCGGGTGAGTCTAACCGGGTGAGACCAACTCCAGCTGAGCTCTGACCGGGTGAGTCTAACCGGGTGAGACCAACTCCAGCTGAGCTCTAACAGGGTGAGTCTAACCGGGTGATACCAACTCCAGCTGAGCTCTAACAGGGTGAGTCTAACCGGGTGATACCAACTCCAGCTGAGCTCTAACAGGGTGAGTCTAACCGGGTGAGACCAACTCCAGCTGAGCTCTGACCGGGTGAGTCTAACCAGGTGAGATCAACTCAAGCTGAGCTCTAACAGGGTGAGTCTAACCGGGTGATACCAACTCCAGCTGAGCTCTAACAGGGTGAGTCTAACCGGGTGATACCAACTCCAGCTGAGCTCGAACAGGGTGAGTCTAACCGGGTGAGACCAACTCCAGCTGAGCTCTGACCGGGTGAGTCTAACCGGGTGAGACCAACTCCAGCTGAGCTCTAACAGGGTGAGTCTAACCGGGTGATACCAACTCCAGCTGAGCTCTAACCGGGTGAGTCTAACCGGGTGAGACCAACTCCAGCTGAGCTCTGACCGGGTGAGTCTTAGGGCTGTGAAGAGGAGCAGAATATCGGAGTGTGGCTGATCTGATGGAAGGAGGAGCTTCATTCCACAGTTAAAGCCTAGAAAGGTGGAAGTTTTCGCCGTCTGCGTACGGCTCTGATGCTCCTCGGTGGTTAACGCCCCCCCTATAGCTGCCTGCTGAATGGATCCACTGATTGATCTACAGGAGGAAAGGCTGAAGGTAACAGGACCTGTTTATTAAGGCACTGGGCCCAATCTGCACCAGTCTGAACCAGCCAACTGGGATCAATACGGACCCAGAACCAACCGGACTGAACTGACTGATGGTCATTTCAGACCTTTGTTCTGCTTTTTCACTTATTTTCTAATTAAAATGTGATTTCTGAACATAACAGGTTTAGATGAACCAGTGGAAATTAATTAAACCAGAGAAGAAGGAGGAGAGATAATCCCAGATTACCAACATTTGTTCTCTCTAAACATCATTTATTAAATGTTATTTTGGAGCAGTTTGGTTGAATGATGAATTAGAACATAAATAGTTCAGTTCTGGTTAATCCTCCTGAACCTGAAGGTCAGACGGAGCTCAGGGAACCAAAGGAATCAGGTTTCCATCACATGGACTAAGAATCCCAACCAGAGGTAGATGTATGGATCCAGATCCGCTCACCTTCTAGACACTGTCCTTTGAAGAACACCTTCTGCTCCAGACGGAACTTCTCCAGCTGCTCAGCAGACGAGAAGTTCAGCTCCCTGGAAACGGCTTTGCACTTCAGGATCTTCTTTGGTACACGGGCTGAGGAGAGGAGACAGAGCAGCGTCACCAGCAGCAGGCGGCAAAACCAGCCGGACCACGAGGTCCACCTAGACAGAACCAGTCAGAACCAGCCCGGTCCTTGAACGGGCAGCCTGACAGAACCAGTCTGGTCTGGGAAGCAGGGGTTTGATTAACCATCCTTCAAGAAGCTCCGGTACCAGATGGGTACATCAGGTTCTGGCCCAGCGTGTTCAGAAGGTCCAAGATGAAGGTCCAGTTAACTGGTTGTCCCTGCAGGACATCTGTCCATCTGAGCAGGAACAACCTGGATCTGAACAGACCGAGAAGCCTCTGAGGAACCGCTTCCTGGAGGCGCTCGTCATTTCATCAACCAGGACCATCAGGAAAATAAAAAAGGGCGACAGTGGCGTTGGATGTAGGCGTTTGCCCTGAAATCGAAGGGTTGACGGTTCAAGCCCCGACTCAGTGTCGTCGTGTCCTTGGGCAAGACCCTTCACCTGCTGACCGGGCTACAGTGTAGCTCACCACCATCAGTGTGTGTGCGTGAATGGGTGAATGAATGTAGTGTAAAGCGCTTTGGTCCGGTCTCCTGACTTGAATAAAGGCGCCATATCAGTACAGGACATTTACCATTTATTTCATCAACCCCACTTTTTCCCGCGATGATGACGAGACGATAACGAACAAAAATAGTTTCCAGAAAATAAAAATATGATGAAAATACAAAATTATTTTCATCAACGAGACAAAGACAGACGAAAAGTACGATCCATTGATGGACGGACATTAAGAAACATAATTATTTATGATCAATTTGTAATTGTTAATAAAAGTGTTTCTTTAGCTTCATAGAAGATCATGCATTGTTCCCATGTTTGTCCTACATGGCGTCTGTCCCTCAGCGCCCCCCAGCTCTCAGTCAGAGGCAGCATAGCTCAACTTCGCAGTCAGCAGATACCAGTGTGCTGTTTGTTAAACAACGCCTGGATGTATGGAGCCATTTCATTTACAACTCAAAGGAAAACAGCAGAGGAAGAACGCCACCAAAGAGTCTGCGGCTTCAACATGGTGGGGAAGAACACAGCGAATCTGTAGTAGCAGGAACGGGTGTGTTAGTGCGTGCGCATGCATGTGGCTCTGTGGCTGTGTGTGTAACCCTGACACAGTGACATCACAGCCAGATCAGAGGCTGGGGAAGGAAGGGAAGCCCCCCCACCCCTGACTCCAAAGAGCAGAAAGTCCTGGAGAACTCAGTGGCAAAGATTGGGCGTTCTGACCTGCCTGCAGGGACCATGGAGGATGAAGACTTTATGGATATGATGAAACAAGCTGACAGAAGGTTGAATGAGTGTGAAGTTCTATTCTGCACAGTGCTGACTATAATGACTAAGACTAAAATAGATTTTCGTCATCTAGACTAAGACTAAATTAAAGAAAGCTGAGAAATGAACGCAGCCTGGAAGCCATCATCAGATGGAGGTTAGCGCCTCAGTGGTGCCCAGCTGCTCAGAAGCAGAGGAAACCAGCAGAGGACCTACCTTCATGCTCCACGCCTGGCACCGACAGGTCCTCGGTTCCCTGCCACAGCACCTTCCCAGTCTCTGCATCGCGCAGATTCATCCAGTTTCTGTCAGGAAAACTTAAAGAAAACAAGCCAACTTCTGAGAAGATAACTAGAAGATAACCCAGATTCAGCTTCTGCTCGTCTGGAAAACCACCTCAGTGCAGGGAAAACTGATCCGACGTCATCAGATAGCAAATCATTCTGAGTCTAAACTCAACCGTTAGCTGAAGGAAGAGCGACCAACCAAGAAGCTCCAGAGAGGGGGGTTCTGTTTCGGGGGGGTGGGGCGGATTTAACTCCTTTGCTATTTATTAATTGTTGATCTGCAGATCAACAATTGCAGGTAGAGTCTGCCTCCCTCCTGGATCAGCTTCTCTGATTGGCTGATGCTCCTGCTTCCAGCGGCAGAAGGTCATTTAATGAACTCCAGCGCTGGACGCTCAAACGCGCCGCTGTCCTCCATAGACTGCAAAGCAGACGCCCCCAACGCCTCTGGTGGGAACGCAGCTTTAGAGCAGTTTAGTTTCTGGCTAGCAAACCAGAATCAGAACTACTTCAATAATCCCAGAGGGAAATTACTTAAACCAGCGCTTATATTTTATGTCTTTAACCTTTAAAACATCCCAGAAATGGATCAATGGCTAAAACCCAAATCTATCATCTTATCAACTGAGGAGCAGCTTCTAAAAAGCAATGATGGCGGCCCAGTGATGTCAGGACTGACCAGGAAGCGCCGATCCTCCAGCAGCTGGAAGGTTTCAGCTTCATCTCAGTGAACTGAGCTGGGAAATCTGGAAAATATACGTCGCTTTATCAGACCAAACCTCCAGACTAAAACCATCTGGATTATTTACACCCAAACAAACAGACTAACAGTAAAACATGAGACTTTGTTAAACTGGTTTAGATTCGGAGTCTAAATGTTTTATTCCTGTATCGAATCGTCTCTGTACTAAAATTCATTGCAGGAATAACTTTAAACTGCTCAAAGGTCACATTCTATTTGGAGAAGATCTGTAGAAATAATCTGTGATGAAAGATTTTCCCTGAACTGATCGACTGCAGGGCCTCCATCCATCACAGACCATCAGCAAGCGAAACGCACCAATCACAGCTCGGCATGCTGCTCCTGAACCACCAGCAGCTCCCTGGCCTCCAGTGACACAGCAGCAGAGCGAGCCTGATGGGACCTGTGGTTGATTCTGACTGGGAGCCGCCCCAGCAGGTCCACTGGGAGGAGCTTCAGATCCGTTCAGTTAAAAACAGGATCTCCTGTAGAGGTCTGTCTGCAGCAGGTCTGGATCAGCCTCTGACTAACAGTCTGATGAAGAGGAGGCTCACTGCTGTCCATCATCTTCTTCCTTCAGAGTGGTCTGAGCCAGACCTCATCAGGACTCCACCATCCCCACTGAGAGGCACGGTGGTGGCAGCATCATGCTGTTTTCAGCAGAAAGGGAAGGATGCTGCTAGAGCATAAAGCCCCAGAGGACGGGTTCCGGACCTGATGGACTGGTTATCCAGCCTCACCAGTACCCTCGGATCTCCATCTGTAATTTAATCTAATCTCTGAGTCTAAAGTCAGATTCCTTTCATGGGCTGGACCACAGGTTTGGTCAATCCGGACCACAGGTTTGGTCAATCCGGACCACAGGTTTGGTTAATCCGGACCACAGGTTTGGTTAATCCGGACCACAGGTTTGGTCAATCCGGACCACAGGTTTGGTCGATCCGGACCACAGGTTTGGTCGATCCGGACCACAGGTTTGGTCGATCCGGACCACAGGTTTGGTCGATCCGGACCACAGGTTTGGTCGATCCGGACCACAGGTTTGGTCGATCCGGACCACAGGTTTGGTCGATCCGGACCACAGGTTTGGTCGATCCGGACCACAGGTTTGGTCGATCCGGACCACAGGTTTGGTTAATCCGGACCACAGGTTTGGTCAATCCGGACCACAGGTTTGGTCAATCCGGACCACAGGTTTGGTTAATCCGGACCACAGGTTTGGTTGATCCGGACCACAGGTTTGGTCGATCCGGACCACAGGTTTGGTCGATCCGGACCACAGGTTTGGTCGATCCGGACCACAGGTTTGGTCGATCCGGACCACAGGTTTGGTCGATCCGGACCACAGGTTTGGTCGATCCGGACCACAGGTTTGGTCGATCCGGACCACAGGTTTGGTCGATCCGGACCACAGGTTTGGTTAATCCGGACCACAGGTTTGGTCAATCCGGACCACAGGTTTGGTCAATCCGGACCACAGGTTTGGTTAATCCGGACCACAGGTTTGGTTGATCCGGACCACAGGTTTGGTTGATCCGGACCACAGGTTTGGTTAATCCGGACCACAGGAGGAACCAGGGAAGTTAATCACATCCACCACTGGGCTGCTCCATCAGAACCACTCCCTCCCAGACCAGTCCAGAGGGAGGAGGGAGACCATGTGGGTCCACATGGACCGACCAGAACCACCAGAGAATATGAGCAGCTCCCAGTAATCCCAGTAACCCTCCACTCCCTGCCGGTCCAGTGATGCCTGGGTGACCCGTCCAGCTGCTCCATCAGCTGAACGGATGGAGGCCCATGCTGATACCCGCCCCCCCATTTCCGGATTAGAACTGGGATTGGGCCCTAATCTGTGGCTGCAGGCGTAGCGCTGATGGTCAGACTGGCTGAACCGTCCGGAAGCAGAAACAACCAGCCAACAAAGCGGAGCAGGAGCCCGACCTCCGGCCTGCATGGGGGCCCCCCGGCTGGCAGGCCCTCCATGGGGCCCCCCGGCAGGCCCTCCATGGGGTCCTTAGCGCAGCTAGCTGCTAGCACACAGCTTACATCACAGCAGAGGAAGGATACAGTCTGAAGCCCTTCAGTATTTCCTTGGCTCTGTCTTCTCCAGAAGACATTTCAGGAGTTTCTCTGAGCCGATCAGCGATTCTCCAGATTTAGCTGAACTTCCGGCCGGTTAACTGAACCCTGACCCCGAAGAACGGCTCCTAACGGCCCGAAGAGAGAAGCGAGCAGTTGGGCTACAAGATAAATCCGATTCCACTAATATAAGCAGCTAAATACGCTCCGGGAAACAGACAGCAGCTCGACCAATCAGCGCGCGGCAGCAGCGCCAACCAGCCAATCAGAAGGTGGGCGGAACAGAGTGGATTCTGATTGGTCGGCAGGGGCGTCACCATGCTGCATTAGATGAAAACGGGAAATCCGTGAGGCGCCTTGGATTTTCCCACCTGGATTCATTTTTAGGACCTAAAACGTCTCATTTTAATATAAATACCGCGATAAAAAAAACATAAAAATGTAAAATTAAAATAAAGCGGCCTTAACCCATAACGTCTAAGAAATCAAAGCCTGTTGAGTGGTTGCCATGGTAAAGGCCATGATGTCACAGGAAGTTCTCCTGCAGTCTTTGAAGTGGTCAATATAAAACCCGTGGCTGCAGCCGAGGACCTCATTAATGGGACATTTATCCTTTAACTGTACTAAAATAACTAACATTTTGCTCCCAGTTGGTCTGCAGACCTTTGAACCATCAGAGGAGCTGCGCTGCTAACATGGTGGATAGAACAAATAATTCTGCAAACTAGACTCTTCTGCAGCAGAGAAGCTTCAGGCTCCATCAGAGAGCAGCTTCCTCCTCAGTCCATGACAGGAGGTCACCTGAAGGTGGAACTGAGCAGGTCAGTGACTTTCTCTGACGTCAGATCAATAAAGTTTCATATCTCCTGTAGGACCCAGCCTGCTGCCCGTCGCACCGAGTCCGGATGATGATGATGTCAGGACCTTCACAGCACACTGATCATAACCTGCGGTTAGCTGGGAAGTTTAAAAGGCCATCTGGGACAGCCGGCCAATCACAGCGTCCCTGACGATGAAGGTGTGATTCAGGCCTTTCCTCCGACCCAATCGGACCGCGGTTCAGAGAAACAGACAGAGGCAGAAGTTTGACCAAACAAGCTTTATTAGGGGCCAGTCTACTCTTTCTTGGCAGCAGCCTTCCTCATGGCTGCCAGGACGTTGCTCAGCTCCTCCCTCTTCCTCTTGGCCCGGATGTGTGTGCCGATCTGAAAAACAACATCATCATGAATGATTGGTTCTGAATTTATTCATCAGACTGTAGCTTTGGCTCAGGATCACTGAGCCGTTCAGCTCCTGCTTCATAGAACAGGTTCCCAACATTATGACCTTCACTGCTTCAGGCATCTAGCCTCTGGGCTGAGCTTACAGCCCAGGACCCCCGGCTGCCTGTGGAACATGGATCAAAGCGGGTCGGCCCAAAGGGAACCTCCACCTGCAGCTGCTCAGGAGTCCAGAACCAAAGCTGACCTCCCTGAGAAGATGCTGATGTTGCCTGGCATCAACAGGGATGGAAGAACCACCACCATGGAACCAGAACCTCAGTGATCGTGCTTTGAAGCAGGGCAGTGGCAGCATCATCCTGAGGGGCTGTTATTCACGTCCCAAAGTGGATCCCATCAGAAGAAAAGAACAGACTGAAGACGACGGGTTAGGAAGCTCTGATCTCAGAGGAAGGAGGTGCACCCTGGACCCTGACCATCGGCACCGTCCCCCGATGGACACGGCCCGTCGGCGCCGTCTGCTGATAGCTCATAATGCCTCCAGAACCGGTCCTCTGAAGGCTGCTTCCCTCTTCTCCCTGTGAAACTGCTCCCAGTCATCTTTAATACTGGTTCCCAGTATCAGAACATTTCTAATCTGCTCCCACAGCTTTTAGATGATGCCAAAGTTGCTGTTCTCTTCTACAGCGTTAACATCTGGGAGACCATGGATGCTTCTGTCCCACCAGGCTGGGATGCAGAGATCAGAGCAGTACCGTCTCACAGCAGCTAAAAACTCCAGAAAACAACCAGACCAGTGGACTGAAGCAGCAGGCTAGGAAACAGTGATGAGCAGCTGGAGGAGGGGGGCTTCATCACTATGGTAACAACCAAGCACCCAGAAGGTCGTTTCTCCACTGGATCAGTTAATTTAGACGTTCCACGACTTAAAGGGGAGCGCAGACATCCGCAGATAGATTTTTTTATCTTTTAAAACAAAGTAGAGTGTGTGTGACATCATCAGCGCGTGCCGGCTACCGTTCATCCATCCTGTCCGCTGAACTGCTGCTAGTTTTCCTCTCATGCCTGGAAGATGTCTAGTGCTGCTACCACAGATGATCTCGCTCTCCAGATGAGCCATTCAGATTAGCTAGAATGAATAGAAGGGGTAGAGCGTAGCTGCCTGTGGCCCGGGCTGCCTGTCAATACTACAGTCCGCCGCACGGATGACGTCATACACACACCGCTTTGATTATAAAAATATAAAAACATCTAACGGCGGATGTCTGGGGGCTAGTGATTGGCCTCCATGTTCTGAATGCTGGCGTACCATAAAGAATAGATGATGAACAGTTTAGTTTGTGCCTTCAAGTCGTTGCTCATAGGAAGACGTTACTGGATATAACCTAACGGAATATCTTCAGAACGACTCCAAGTGACACTAAACTCAGATGGGAGAGTAGAACATGATGGAATAACGGAAAATCAAGGAAACAATGGAAAAAACACTGGTGTTCCCATTTAAATACCTCTCAGACTGAAAGAGTGGCCCCCAGCAGAACCCTGATGGGATCCAGCTGACAGCTAAGGTCTAACACCACCGAATTAACCAATTAATCTACAGATGCCGTCTATAAGGTCAGAGTGTAGCTCATGGCTGAGGATGCAGATCCTCTGGGACCGTGGAAGGAACCACATTCACAATAAACACAGATACAGCCGCTCTGCTGTCATGTCTGAGCAACAACCCCCCCCCTCTTACCCTCTTCTTGATGAACTTCAGAGCCCTCTTGTCCTTGGAGACCTTCAGCAGCTCCATGGCTCGCCTCTCATACGGAGCAAAGCCGCACACTTCACGGATCATGTCACGAACAAACTTGCTGTGTTTGGTCAAACGCTGCAGAGGAACAGATCAGCCATCACTGTCAATCGTCTGCTCTATGGTCTGAGCCTGTTGGTGCAGAGCAGCAGATACTCACCCCGCGCCTGCGGCTGTGCTTTGGAGCGGTCACGTTCTTGGTAACTGGGTGGCCCTTATTAAGGCCGACGGCCATCGGGTAGCGGATAGCCATGTCTGCAGGAGAGAATCAGCTACTATCAGCCATGGATGAAGCCCCTGACCTGCTCCTCCAGTCAGCCTGGGACACAGCTAGCACCGCTAACAGGCCGGTCCTAACTAAACACTAAACTACACAAAGTTCATTTCCAGGCCCGACGATTAAACATTTACTCTTCAACGTTTAATAAAACACCTGTAAAGCTTGGTTTTCAGTTGTTTAATTCACTCTAGCAGCTCTATCATAAAGACTAGCTCCCCGGTGCGTTAGCATAACATAGCGCTAACAAGTACAGCGCTAAAATCCTTTAACTTCCAAATTGTTGCGGATCAAAATAACTCAGGAAAATAATACAGATTTAACTTGTTTATTAGAACCGAAAAACAAATGACAAACTGGAGGGATGGTTAAGATTTAAAGCAGATTCTGGTCAGATATCAGGGACCTACCTGCTGTCTATGATGGCGGTCAAACCGGAAGGACTGCTGACAGGAAGAGGGAGGAATTAACTAACGGTCTGCTGGGCACCGCGCTGATCCTACAGCGCCCCTGGTGGCGAGGAAGCACCGCGAGATATGATGAGATTTAAAACCGGTGCGGTGAAAATTTATTAGAGATAAAAATGTGAGAACCATTTTATCAGGACAGCGTTTAAATGTAAAACATTTAATCATTTTACTGCACGGACAAAAACTCGAATAATTCAGGTAACATAGAAACATTTTTTAAATATTTAAAATGGCGAAAGTAAAAGAAGTGCAATTTAAAATTAGGTGAAGAGATCGTATACATGTATGTAAATGGAAAAATCAAAAACTTTCATTATTAAGTTTCTAAAACGAACTTAAAATCTTCTATTAATCTTTATCTCTGTTAGCTGACAAATATGGACAAATAAATCAAAACTTTATAGTGACGTAATGTCACAGTTTCTGACAAAATGCTAAAGTTAAGGTGATGCCAGGAAGTACCTCGCTGCAGAATGATTCTTTGTTAATTGTTGATTTTAAAACCTTCATATGTTTCATGTTTTTATACTTTTGGAAACTGGCTTAGTTTTGCTTCTATTGGTTGTAAATGCCTGTTTATCTAATCTTTTATTTATTTCCGTTGCACATGTTAAGTTGATCTCCTGTATATAACTGTTATTTTGTCTTTTTTTTGTAAGAATGAAAAGTTGAGATTCCTTCTTTAAAATTTGAAATAAATGTTTCTGTTTAATAAAGTTTAAAAAAACAACAACTGCGGTTTGTTTTTCTGCTCTGCAATAAATTAGATATTAGATTTATTCTACTTTATTTTAAAGTTTAAAGTATTCTGCAGCAAAAACCAAGGTAGGAAATCTATATTAGCTATCTCTACTGTGATTTATTGTAATCTATTACATTTACCAGCCTAAGTTACTGTAATGGATTTATATCGCTGAAGGTTTAGACTTAAATGTTTTTTTTTCTAACAGAAAGTAAAAAAAAACAACTTTACAATGTTTTGCTAAAAGTATAAAAGTCATTTATTTGGGAACAAATATATATAATAAAGTATCTATCTATTCATATTACCGTCCTGCATTGCTGAAGATTTGAACCCATTCATTGGTTTTGGTCGTTAAATGTTCTTCAACAAGCAGCAAATAACGGCTGAATTTATCTCCAACATTTTAACATCAAATATAGCGGGAAAAAAAAATTAGATATATCAGTGGTTTGGATGTTTGGAAAGCAGCTGGATGATAATAATATGATTAAAGTTTTTTAAATTAGCACTTAAATTCAGAACAATCTGAGCGCCTGGTTCAAGAACACAATTCTGGAAAAATCAAACATTTATTCATAAAACACTTTTTACTAACAGCAGCTCAGACGCTGTACAGAATAAAATAATCAACCAGGAATAGAAATGTCTGAGCAGAGAGGGGTGGAAGGAGGGGGTAAGAAGGGTGGGTCTTAGTTCCCAGTGGAGCTAT